TCAGGAGGAAAGATCCAAGCACTTTGAACAACTTTCTAAACTGCACTTTAGGAGGGGGTTGCTGAGACAAGTGCCAGAAGAGAATCTGGGTGCTGAATGAAGACTGTGCAATACCAATTCTATTAGACTGCCTAATAAGAAATGAGAACGGGAAAGTCAGCATTTGCACAGAGCCCAGCTACAGGCAATAATCCAATTTACAGGGAAGCAAGAGGCTGATGGTGACCTTGCCAAAAACTCATCTTTCCAAATATAGTACTGACAAAAGAGTAGTGTAAAAATAAGTGCTAATCAGCAACAATAAGGAGAGAGACAGAGAGATTGCCTCTCTCTGCAAAAGGTATATCATGCAGCATAAGCATGACATTCGTCCACTTCAAAACAAAATAGTTATAGTTTCCAGGAACTTGCAAATCAGTGAACATCCTAGGCACCTCTAAAATGAAAGCTTGCCCTATTTTTCCCAAACCTGCCTTAACCTTATCCAAACAAGTTGTTCCTGCAAATGCCTACTGACACGTTTTTCCATCATTCATGCTATAATGTGCTACAAGAGCAGGCCCAGTTCTCCTTGCCAACACCTTGAGAGAGAAGGCAGGACAGAGACCTGTAGGATGCAGTAATGGTATCACCAAGGACAAGGAAAAGAAGCTGATGCCACTAGCTGGGAGTAAAGCAGAAAACGGTAATCACTTAGGACTGTCCCCATGCAGTGTGGTGACACTTTGCAAGTGGTTCAGAGAAGTATCACCATCCATGCGCTCAGCTTTGGATAATGAACTGAACAAGACTCAGGAGCATCTTCTTTTCTTCCATCATCAAGAAATGATCCTCCACAGTAGCTCTGTCCAATTCATAACCAAACACGAGAAGATTAGAGATTTGTTACATTCCAGTGTTTGAGTGTTTGCTTCTCCCATGGTTCTCCACAAGATCAGGCAGTGAACATAATTACTGCCTAGCACAAGCACTGGTATCTCAGTGCACGACAGCCTTGGGCAACTTCTAAAGCATGAGTCACATCAATCTCTCTATGGAAGATGCTAACGATGTATACCAGATGTAGACTTGTTATAACCAGGAAGTTCAGAGATCCAAAGCAATGCCCAAAGTGCAAAGAGCTCAGAAAAACAAAATCCCCCAGGAACATCATTAGCATTCAGGAGAGGTAACATTTTCCCCTGAGCATTTTTTTCCTTTTTCCACAAATGTTCCTGTGAGTTGAGCTCTGCCCAGAATAACTCAATTTTATTCACAAAGTAATAGTTCTCCCTCACAGCGGAGAGATCTGAGTCAGGTACTAAATGAAGGCATCTCACACAAAGCAAACCTGCAGTCTGAGGCTCGCAGCACAAGCTCCTGAGCTCATGCAACTTCCCCACGCTTCCCCCATGACCTGGTGACATGCTGCTTCTGCCAGGACTCTTCTGCCAGGTGAGCTCAGACCTCACATTGTAGGATATACCCCTTCTCTCCCACACGGCTCCAAACCAAACCCCTATTTTGTAGTTAACCACCTCAGTGGTAATTATATACACAGTAAACAGGAACCTCCAGGTGGTCACTCAGCTCATCCTAGCTAGGATCATGATCATCGTTATCATCACTGAAGCTAAGTCAGACAAATCACAGCTTGAAGCTGCCTGCTTCTTCTAGAAAGCAGAAAGGCAGCCCCAGGTGACTAGTGCAGATCTGACTATCTAGCTCTGCACACCTGACGTTGGGTGAGATAGATGCTTGTGGACGCTTGACAAAGACCTGCATGCCTACATTTCTTCCTTCCCTACCAGGACACTGGCTAAGGAGTTGCTTGTTTCTTCGAACAGGACACAAATTGCTTTGTTACAGTATGAAAATACGGTTAAAACTACTGACACAATCGCTGCTGCTCTCTGCAGCTCCGCAACAGGATCTTCCTAAGCCCCTTCCTGCATGGTTTAACAAATGCTACATCCAAACATAGTGAGCGAGACAGCTAGCAGAAAAGGAGTGTGTTTGCAGGCACAGAAGCGTAAACATGTTCCCACCATGGGACTAAGGTATTTTGCTACATTTATTTATAATCCTGTCATTAAGCGGGAGCAACTTGCTATCTGCACATCCTTTTACTAATGGTCGATCTCCTAGTCCCTCTTATTCTCATGCTGATGCACTCAACATTCCTCCCCCTTCACTCCTGAGAGCTAACTCTGTGCTTCAGCATCTTGAAGCCCTGAAAGCAGAAGGAAATACTTCAAGCTTCCGAAATAAACAATCTTTGCTGGTATTTGGCCTGGTGTTGTCTAAGTGAAATACAAGGTCGAAGATAATTCGTCCTTTAAGTAATTTGGTGCCAAATCACTTAGAGACCTATAAACTATAGTGACAAGGTGTTTCTTGAATCCTTTTGCAAGAAGTAAACCTCTCTGTAACCCTTCCTTTGCTTTACAGTCACGCCCCCTACAATTACGCTGCAGAAACCTCTTTGCGGCTGTCGTGTTAGATTACCTGAGGATTCCAATATTCTCTTGGAAAGATTATGACAAATTGCTCTGTAGCAGAGGTGTCCAACACAGAGAAAAAATGCTTTTCCAGACACACTGGCCACACCAGATGAAACCTGATACAATTTTTAAGCATCAGCATATCGATAGTCTGCCTGTCTCCTGTGTCAGCAGATCATTTCAAACTAGCATATCTATTCAGCCTGTAAGCAGATATGCAGCCAAGGATCAACTTAAGCTGTGGATCAGTCACCAAAATAACACATTTGGCAGGCTACCTGCTTGCTGTAGAGTATCTGAAAACCTGTGTTGCTTGACAATTCAAGAAACTAGGAGGGACCTCACTTCTCTGTGCAGATGATGTGGGTCTGCTGACCCAAACCATTCACTTCTGTGATCCCACTGTGAGGTCTGGGATGAGGGATCCTCCTTCATTCCTCAGCACTTTGCCGCAGAGGGCTGGAGTACGTCCATGGTTTGTCTTGATGGGCCACTAGATGGGTATCTGGGATCCTTTTGGATTTCAGGTTTAGCTGTAATGAATTCGAGAGATCCTCATTTGACAGGTGTGAAGAATTATTAAAGAGGTTATAATATAGCTAAAAGTATAATAAAGCTAGAAATAGAACTGAAAATACATATGTATACATATCAGAGGTCTACAGTTAAATCAAAGATGCACCATGCAACGACTGGTCTATCCCTGTCCTTGAGGGCTACCCCTCTGGTATAGTTTTCCCTGGACTCTCAAACAACAAGTACACAGTACAGTGACTTCTCTCACCATTTAAGGGCCATCCTTCTGGTACAGTTTTCACTGATTTCTCCTCACCATGATGTTGACATCTGAGATATTCCGGTGTGCCCTCAAGTCTGCAGGCCAGCTGACCCTGGGTCCCCATCCACAACAAGGGTATGCAGCTTACTCTCTTATACAGCCAGTCAAAATAATGCCAGCCTGCAGCTACACAAAAGCTGTGTGGCTAGAGCATGCATATCATTGGGCAACCCAGTGCTCAGCCCAGACACCTGCTGGGTGAGTAACAACATGTCCAATCACAGGTCCTTCTCTGGGGAATGGTCCCACAGTACTGAGATGTCTATGGTGTGGGTCTGCAGTGTCACTTCTCCACTGTTCGGACTTGTCCATGACAGCACTGTTAGAAGATGGGCCTCCAGACTTCAGCAACCCCAACATGTGGTAGCTCAGGCCATGGGGCACCAGAGGTTTGTTAGCTTTTGGGGAGCAGCCCAGGGCTGCGCCATCCAGAGACCCACACCTACCCTGTGTGGCACTTGCCCTTTTGTGAACTGGGACCAGCTTTTCTCTCTTCAATCCCCTTGTGTTTCTCTTCTTCCTCTTCCAGGCTACAGCTGCATATGACATTTCGTCTATGAGATGAATTGACCAGGCTGGGCCACTGTCCCTGGAAATCTCTAAGTCAGAGAGACCTAGACAGGATGGAGAGTTGGGCCGAGAGGAACCTCATGAGGTTCAACAAGGACAAGTGCAGGCTCCTGCACCTGGGGAGGAATAACCCCAGGCACCAGCACAGATTAGGGGTTGACCTGTTGGAAAGCAGCTCCACAGGGAGCGATTTGGGAGTGACAAGTTAACCATGAGGCCCTTGTGGCCAAGAAGGCCAGTGGGATCTTGGCCTGCATGAGGAGGAGCGTTGCCAGCAGGGCAAGGGAGGGGATCCTGCCCCTCTGCTCAGCTCTGGTGAGGCCGCACCTGGAGTATTGGGTGCAATTCTGGGCTCCCCAGTACAAGAGGACATTGAGCTTCTAGGGAGGGTGCAGCGGAGAGCCACGAAGATGCCTAAGGGACTGGAGCATCTATCGTATGAGGAAAGACTAAGCAAGCTGGGCCTGTTGAGTCCGGAGAAGAGAGGGCTGAGAGGACATTTGATTAACATGTTCAAGTACCTGAGAGGAGTATGTAGGGAGGATGGGGTCAGGTTCTTCTCGGTGGTGGCCAGTGACAGGACAAGGGGTAATGAGTGTAAGTTGAAACATAGGAAGATCAGTCTCTATATAAGGAAGAATTTCTTTACTGCGAGGGTAACAGAGCCCTGGAATAGGCTGCCCAGAGAGGTTGTGAGCTGAACTCAGCTCCCAAATGGAATTTTGGTTTTCAGGAAGAGACAATCCCTCTGGTAAGTATGGCCATTCCAAGGTATCTCAAATTAAGTGAGAAGAGTATGTTGAAAATGTAGCCTTATTATTAGAAACCTTTAAAAAATGCTGAAATGCATGTTTGCCCAACACTAAGCAAATTCATGGCAGTTATCCTCTCCCATATTATAAGGAGGGGAAGTACATCCAAGTGATATAGGAAAGTTTAGAAAGAAAATAAATTCATAAAGGAAATTAAAAGAAAATTGTAAGAAAGAATAACACAATATTCACCAGTTCCTTTTTGTTTCCTTCAGCTCCACTGGGATTTTATTGGGTTTACTGAAACAAGGAGAGATGCTTTACGGGAAATTGAGCCAGCAGGTTTAGCTCCAAGCTTTATATCTCTCCAAGCTGATACTCACTTTCCAGTATCTGTCCTGCTTCTTCATACATTGGGGAAGTGATGACATTGAGCTCTTTTTGCAACATTTCCATTTGGGCTGTAATGTCTGACACCGTATTTTTCACAGCATTCAATTGCAGCCTCAGTTTATTGTTCTCTTCTTGGAAGGCTTTATTCTCCTCCTGAAGAATCTGAATGTCCTTTTTATCTCCAAGGAGAACACTGTCCTCTTTAAGGAAGACTTGGAGGGCTTGATATAAGTTCTGCATTGCCTGGCCAATTGCATACTCACCTTGCATGGTTGGGGCACTCTTCTTTTCATTCTGGGTTGGAGTGGAGCTGCCAGCTTCGTGTTCCTGCTGTGGGGCAGGGCTAGGACCTTCTTCTGGATCTGTGGTAGTTTGAGTGTCTTTCTGAAGAACTGAGCTTGCCTCTTTGCTCTCTTCATGGACTGCAATGGCTTTTCTGTTTTTCCAGATGATGGGCAGAGTTTTATTCTCCTGACGGAAGAGCTCTAAAGCTCTATTCTTTTCCCTAACAATCTGAAGAGCTTTGTTGTCTTGGTTAACCTGGACACCTATGCTGTTCTCTTGGAAGATTGGGAATGGCTTCTTTTCCTTCTGGAGACCCTGCTGAATGGAGTCATCATAAATGACCTTGATGGTTTTATTCTGTGCCTGTAGGCATTGAAGAGCTTTATTTTCTTCCCGTAGCATGCTGTTTTCAATCCGGAGAACTTTGTTTTCCTCCCAGAGTGCTCTGTTCTCCTCCCAGATGCTCCATTCATTATGTGACTTCTTGCTGAAGTGTTTCTCGTGGGAAGCAAAGGTTGACTGGTGGTAGAGTTCATTCACCCATTTACCATCAATAAAGATAAAAGTGTCATCGCTCAGTTTCACTCTTGGGGTGATACAATCTATGTCAGTCTTTGTGTATGGCCCGCTGTGATTCATCATGTCACAAGCAGCCATGGTCTTTCTTTAGTAAACTGAGTAAGTCTGCACAAAAAGAAAACTCCGTGAGATTTGCTGTAAAAACCTTGACTTGCCTTTTGTCTCTCTGCCTCATTTTTACAGATATGTAAAGAGCTAAGGTGCAACAGCACCTCAGAATTCCTTCTGTTCAACAGGTAAATGAATTCCAGAGTCACAGGATGACTGAGATTGGAAAGGACCTCTGGATAACATCTAATCCCCCTGCCTTTACTCAAGCAGGGTCACCCAGAGCCGGTTGCACAGGACTGTGTCTGAAAAGCTTTTGAATATCTCCAAGGATAGAGAATACATTATTTAATTAATTAAAAGAAATTATGAGTGTGGAGCCAAGTTTTCAAAGATGCCTAGTAAGGTGTTTTTAAAGGATGAAAAAATGCTGCTACCATTGAAATTGGCTCTGAGAGCTTTTTCTGGTACATGTTCTGTAACCTTTGCTAACAGGAGGCCAAAAAATATGATGGCAGCTCTGCATTTTAATCTTAAAATCTATGGAACTGTGAATGGGAAGAATGCAGAGTAATGCAGTGTGCACAGATAATTAAAAATTTAAACCACAGCAGTGGACCATTAAGACTGAGAGAGCTCTGCTGCTCTCACATCTTCCCATCAGCATGTCCCAAATACTGTCGCACTCCATCTTCTCATTTCTCCCCAGTGCCTGCTTTTTTCATATCCTTAGATAGTTCCATTACTTTCCTCATATTCTAGGCTTGCAATAGTAAATGTCTCATCTCTTTTTTACAGTCCTTCTGCTTTCTTCACCATAAAACCCATCCAGGTTGTACCTCCAATTCTTCTCATTTCAGTCCCAGAAAACTCAGATTCATCTGCTCAATACCCTTCCTTTGTTCTGCCCATAATGCTCTAGCCAAATCATCTTCTAGTCATAACTAAACCTGGAAAATGCAGGATTTATATCTATTTCCATGAATGGAAAATAGAAAAATTGATTTTCTGCCAAAGAAAGTGAGCCTTATTTTCTGCAGTTCTTATCAAAATAAAATGTGTTCTTGTAAAAATAAAATGCATGCAATTTTCAAAATGACTGAGATTGAATTGTTTTTATAATAAACTTATTTTGATTTTTTTGTGCGTGTTTTTTAAACTTAATTTCTGCAATGTGTCTTTTTCTAATTAGGGGGAAAAAAAAAAGAGGTTGGCTGCCTAATTTCATCTGGATTTACCCTTTTCCTTCTTGAATTCCTCCAGCTGCCTGGTTGTCCCTTATGAAATCCAATTCTGTCTGTTCAGCTGGTGAGGAGATTTTTTACCTTCATGAACTTTATCTCCAGATGTCTCCGTAGGGTGTCAGGCATGCTCTTATCAGCAGAAAATTTAACTCACCAGTTCCCCACATCTTCCAGCTCTTTCACGGCATCATCTACCAGCCTCTTTGGCCTGCCATGGTCTCTCTTTTGCACAAAGTCTCCCTCTCTGCCCTTTCCCATTGCTCTGCCCTCTCTACCATGCTGCTTCCCTCTGTGTTTTTCCCCAGCTCCTTCTGTCTTCTGCAAGCCAGCATCACATAGCTGCTTCCTTCTCCTTCCTCCCAAGCTTGTCCAAAAATTCAAACAATTATCAGTAATATTTTAAATCCCAAATCACTTAATATAAGGGTGAGTTTTGAGGGGAGCTGCAGCATACATTTGTTGGACTAATACATGATTTTGTTGTCTCAGCCTGGCTTTCAGAGTTGTTCTCTGCATCACTGGTATGTTCTATGTTGCATCAGACTAATGTATTCTCTATATTCTTTTGCTAAAAGAATTTCTCACAACCTTCCAGCTTCAAAGTTTCAAAGTTGTTTCTACTTGTGCCATGTTTTGGGCCGCATATGGTTCCCTCTTACGCTCCTTCACAGCCTTTCCAATTTGCCTGGTGCCCCCACTCATCTTTAGGGCTCTCTGCACCCTTCTGTGGGAAGAGGAGGGTCAAACATCTCTTAAAGTAATCCCTGCCTGGGTCTTGTGGCTGTGCAGGCCCAGGTTTTCATCAGATCTTTGCACCACCAAGCCCAGGGCTGAGAGGTAAGTCAGCACCACAGGAGAGACTGACACCAGATCCCCCTAAATATCCAGATAAGAAACAGAAAATAAGGAATATTGAGAGGCAAGACCCACTGCCACTGAGTAGCTTGGGTAGGCAGCTAGAGTTGTTAAACTCACTTATATTTAAAGTGTTGATATGGCATGTTTTCAGGATAAACAGAAACATCTAATATATTCTGCACTGAAGGACATTATCTTGGGGACAATTAAACTTGACAGCATCTCTGTCAGCTCTTTTGCACTGCAGTAAGGATATTGACCTGCGCTTCACAGGGGCATTTCAAGTTCTCTCGGCCTCTGCTATCATTTTCGTGTATCTCCGAGCTGAACAATCCGTAAGAGGCTGCGGAGCTGAGACAGGCAGGAGGACAGTGCTCCTGAGGGAGAGGGAGGTTGCATGAGAGGAGGCTGAGCTGACACATTCTCACCTGCTTCCACAAGTGGGTCCTCTCCCCTTTCCCAGCGCTCTTGGCAGACTGTCCTGTTTCCAGCTGCTTTTCCCGTTTGGGGCCAGCAGCTCGGGATGGCTCCGGGTTCTCCTCCTCCCCGCCTGACTCCGCTTGGATGTGCCGGGTGTAACAAGGGACAAAGGCGCCCGACTGTGACACGGAGCAGCCGCTGCGCCATGGCCAGGGCAACGGCAGAAGCCGTCCCGGCAGAGAGCCAGGCACTCATGGATGCCACCTTCCCACAGCTCATTTTTTGCTCCTTTTCTGCCAGTCTCTGCAGAGTGTCTTTGATTTCCCCCAGCAGCACAGATTTGGGTTATTTTTCATGGAAATGACCTTTCCATAGCTCAGCTCTCATGTCCTTTCACAAAGCTAGGCTTCTCTCTCCCCATCTTTGATGCTTATATCTGAGAGCAGTTTAAAAGATTGTTCTTCTGTCACTATATTTTCAAACACTTTCTGTTTTTATTCATAATATTTAAATTATGTTTACTGCTAAGCTGATACTGATGCCCAAAGTGAGTCTCCATGTGTACACTGTGGGACCAGAAGTTACTTTCCGGAGGGAACATGGTGGTGGAATTTTTCTATGGCTATATGTTTAAAAGGAGAGTATTGCTGAACCCTATTAAGAAGAAAATAGAATATGCAGGGCATCCATGCTTTGCATGTTTAGATATTTTTTGTAGTAGCTATTCCCATTTCCACATCTTTACATTTCTAATGATCTCATTTTCTCATTACTTGCTGTATCATGAAGATGTAGCATATATTTTTTTTTCTAATCAGGATTCTCAGATAACAAATAGAGCAGTTAAATTCTTTTCCAATGAAAATTACCAACCTGCTATCAGCCCCAAGGTGACTGTTATTGTTTTAGGAAGTTGAAGACACTGTTCAGCTTTGCTGTTATGCAAAGATGATAAACTCAGGCATAAAATTCTTCTCTGTAATTTCTCCTTTGCCTTTTTTTTTTTATCTCACACAACAGAGAAACATCACAAGTTACTATGGTAACTCCTCAGGGAGCATTCTCTTCTCTTCAAGTTCAAGTATTCTACAAAGGGAAGCAGGAAAATATCCTTAAAGGAGAAAGGAAAATATTTTGTCATAGGGTATTTGTGCCTAACCAACCATCAGATGGGAGTTCAAGGGTGCAACTTAGAAGCAGCATCTTTTAGGACAGACAACAGTTTGCAATGGGTGATCTGAAGTTTTGAAGGACTGAGACTGTGGGCCGCTAAAAGAGACCTTAGATGAATGTTTTAAGGTCTAAAAGCTGACTGGGAAATGAATTAATAAAGTAAGAGCGAAAAGTACCGATTAGAAGACAAAGCCTGCTTAATCCAGAACTACTGAGAACTCAGCACTGCACCTTTGCCTTTCATAATGTTTTCTAAGCAGTATTTTCCCTAAAGTTGGATAAAGTTTAGGGGTTTTTTTTGGCAAATTATTTATTTGCTAAAAAACTGACTTCAAATACTAATGTATTTGGGACAAATTTAGTGACCTGCATCATCTTCATGAGCGCATATGTAAAGATTAGCATTTGAATAATCAGAAATGCTGCAACAGTTCACTGCAGATTTTTTTATACTGGCTACACTGATTTCTGAGCTAGACTCTCACAAGGGCACAGATGTCATTCACAAAACTACAAAGGCAGAAATAATGCTGAACGTTTCCCCCTCCCTACCAAGAGAAAAATAACCCCTTCTCCAGAAGAAGGTTTTGAACCAACTTCGCAGCCACATGCTTTATCTACCTCTAGAGACTTTGCAATTTCTCCAGGTGAAGCTATTTCACTACATAAATAATCAAATACTATTTGGGATCTAAGCTCTATCCTCCACCCTATTTACACACCTTACATCAGACTATGGAGCCGTTCTTCCCTCTTTTCAGAGATTATCAGGCTCTGGGGGAGACCTTATGAACCCCATCTCACACCATTCTGTAGTTTTAGAAGCAGCTCCCTGTTGAGCTACAAGAGGTGACAGTCTGGTGTGGGTCTCAAACGGGGAGAGAGGGAAGGCTGAACTGCTGTCCACCAAAGTCCTCCAGGAGGGCTCAGCAGACTCCATCTTGTCCTCTTTTCTTGGGAGGAATGTGGACGCTTCCCAGTAAAGCTCAGCCCTCTCTTTCCATTGCTCATAGGTTTAGAAGGATCTGCTAAAGTGCCTGCAATCAAAACAGTCTGTTCTTTTATACAAGTAAAAAGCTTCATCAAATTGGAGCACCTTCTCTCTTCCTCTCTTTTTGTGTGTAAAAATGCTAAAACTTCAGTTTGATAAAACTAAAGAAATCCCCTTGCACTCTCTACCAACTCAAGTACAGTCATGTGTCTAAAACTCCTATCTTGTTCATATCAATACAGATTAGTACAACCACACATTCATTGATTACTTTCCTCAAGGCTGTTAGGCCTTGATGCAAATCCCACCAAGTCACCACAAGGATTCTTGTGCATTTCAGTGAT